TGTATATTACAGGTGCGATTTTTCAATTCGCAAAACGTGCTGGCGAACTTTATGGAGCACACGCGAACATTGCGCCTCTACCCTCGTCCAGTCGTCGCCTTCCAGATCAACAGCTTCCTGAGGTCGCGGCCTAGGACGAGTTCATTTCTCAATAAATTTGCTAGAACCCAGGTGCGTGGAGTCGATTCGGCGAATATTTATTACTTTTTAGTTTTCCTTTACAATACATCTGTCCAGGCGGTGGAGTTCCTAGCGGAGTGGTCGCTGACGCCGTGCAACGTGGCGTTCCTGCGCGTGCAGACGGGCGTGCTGGAGCCGCGGCAGATCGGCGACAAGGCGAAGTGGTTCGCGGAGCAGCTGCAGCCGGTGCGCTTCGCCGTCTGGGACGACGGCAGCTCGCTGAACGGCGCGCTGCGCCAGCTGCAGCGCCACGACAACCAGCCCACTGGTACGTACTAACTGCGTACCGCACGTGAGCCGCGTTCACTAAGGCCTCTATTCTTAATTATGTCAATACTAGATACCGTATACGTATGGCTAAGATACGTATGTTAAGATGGATGTGTGGTGTGACAAGAATGGATAAAGGTAAGAATGTGTGTAAACAGTGGTAGAGCCCGCTAACAGTGGTAGGGCCCGCTTTAACATCTTCGCGTCGGCTCGTCCGGTGCAATGCCACGACCATACAGAAGACAGGCGTGAAGTGGCAGCAATTCCGCGTTTCGTCTGATGAGTGTGGTGCCGAAGGCCCAATTTAAGTCCATTTTCTTCCCACCCTTTTTATCATAAGAATAGGATGGAAAGGGAACGTGGATTTGACGATGGAGGAGATGCATAGGAAGAGGAAATATCTTCTTTATGTGCGTCTCCTCCTCCGTCGATTAAGGGTAGGCAATGCATACGCTATTGCGGATGTGTATGGGCAGCGGTCGCTTCGCCATTTTGGCGGTTTTAGGTGGCCCCTTGCTCGTTTGCCACCTTATAATATACAAAAAATTAGAGGAAGTTTGAAAGTAGCGCCAGTGGTGGAGAAATTGAGAAGCAAAAGGTTACCATGGTATGGACATGCCGTGCGACGAGACGATGGGGACATAAATTAGAAATTGTTAAGAATAAATGTGGATGGCTACAAAGAAAGAGGACGACCGAAAAAAGTATGGATGGATTGTGTGAAAGAGGAGGTGAGGAGGTGATTGGGTGCTTAAGAAAGGAGTGGATTCAGATATGACGCCTGATAGAAATGAATGGAAGAGCAGCACAAACTGTGCCGACCCTCCGAAAGGGATAAGGGCAAATTTATGACTAGCTGTTGTATTCAACTCTCTCCCCATGGAATTTAAAAAAATAAATAAAAAGTGTGCCTATGTGTTCTTGCAGACTATCCTCTACATCTTGACAAATTTCGTTGAGATCCGTTCATCAGTATAGGCTACAAACTTTAACAAATACCCATCCATAATAAGTTACGCATTTATTATATTAGTATAATTCATGTTAACAGACGAAAGTGGTTCGGATTCCGAAGCAGCGGAAAGTACAAGTTCTTCGTACTCTTCTCTTAGCGATTTCGTCTCAGAGATAGCGTCTTCGGATTTATCTCCAGGTATTTTGATACAAATTACATTATTAAAGTTATTATTTATTTATCAACAGTATTTGTCTCTTATTTGTTTTGTTTATTTTTAGGCGGCAACCCTTACCAACATGTTATTGGGGAGACGTATAACGCAGTAGTGCAAGTGCCAATGACGCTGTCATCATCTTTAGATCCTAAAACAGTAAGTAGACTTTAACTACTTAAAGAACACTACGATTAGCACAGATACATCTATACTTCTATACTATTATAATAAAGCGTAAACACACACTTCTTTGTTGCCTTAGATGTCAGCAATTACAGCATATTTTTGAATAATTCTTTATTTAATAAAAAGCCCTACACTTACGTCACGCTTTATGCTATATATTTTCACGCAGTTAAACTTAGGGGTAAATATTTTGGATAAAAACCCTAATGTGGGAAAGAGACCATAAGTTGTTGCTAACATCAAGGAAGCAAGGTTGCCATGGTTTAACAATTGATAATTTGACAAATGTGAACAATAAAATGAAATTTTTATATTTTTATGCGGATGAAGTCGCATGGGAACAGCTAGTTATACTAATAAATTTTAACATTTTAGGTTTGCATCAATGCTTTCGAATTTTTTTTTTTGGTTTTTGAATCTGCATTTGAAATTTGAATTTGTTTCAGGTATACAGTCCTCCATCATCTTTGATGTTTGGGGAGGAGGAGGGCAAGGAGGAGGGGCGCGCCTCCACCTCCCCCTCGCCCTCCGCCTCCAGCTCGGAGCACAGTGACGCCTCCGACGATGAGGCGCCCATAGACAATCAGAAAACTCTCGACTCACATCCAGTACCCGTCAAAAAAAGCGTAAGTCTAATCTATATATACTTATTTACAGGTCTTGCTTCCTTTTTTCAATAAAATAAAACTTTTATCAACTTTTTCTGTTCTCCATTCCTTATGTTCTAGGAAAACTTTTGCTAATTGTGTAAGTGTTGATAAAAGGGGAAAATGACCTTTAATTAAAGTCTCTCACTTCTGCAGTCCTCAAATGGTTCTCTTCACTGTACATATAGTATTAGAATCCTACACTGATTGTCTTCTTAAGTGATGAATGAACGTTACTACACTATACTAGGACTTAAGCAAATGAATGTAATGTTACAAAGGACACGGACAGCGGTAGCTTCGGGCGCGAGTCGGACTCGAACTCGACTACGACGCCTAAGACAGTGGTGAGCCGCCAGCGCGCGCAAGACAGCGGCAGCGCCAGCGACACCGAGCGCGCCCTCACGCCCGCGCAACAACCGCACCCAGCGCACGCAACGCACCAACACTACACCAAGGTAAATACCATAACTTTACGCTATTAATGTTATTGTAAAAACGTAATTAACTTAAAACACTTAGACCACTGCCTACCGCCAGAATGGCGCACTATTCCAACATGTCTGAATGACATTGACAGATGTAAGATAGGGACGGAACGTAATTGGCAATCCCGTGTTGCGCTAATCCTCCAGCGCAGTACTTTTTTTCTTAACATAACATAGGTAAATAACATATAAGGCTTACTCATTGCCGATGACGAGCACCGAGCATTAGAAGGGCGGCCATCTTGTGAAACTGTCAGTTCGTTTTGAGTCGCGATGGGGCCACGTGCTCTGTGGACGTCTTGTCTTGTTTTAATAGTTGGTGTTCTTGTAATCCCCAATATGACAATCCATATTTCCGCTAAAGAAGTACAAATCGTTACGATATGTTTCGATTAAGATATTGAATTGACGTCCACCGAGCACGTGGCTGCGTGCGCAGCCCATTGCGACTCAAACTCAAGTCAAACTGATAGTTTCACAAGATGGCCGCTCTACCAGTGCTCGATGCTCTTGGGCAAAGAGTAAGCCTACAAACATAATAATTTGTTGTTTACATTGAAGTGACATTTAAGCGAATATAGGGACAATGACGTCACAACATTCTAGTAGTATTTTAGGCGCACGACAGTTATTGTGGGTTTTTTTGCTCAATGTTTGTTTTTTTGAACGTTTAAAAAAATGGATATTCTCGTTAAATTGTCCTAACCTACGGATACACACTAAGAGGGATCTTAACGATTTACATTTTTTGCAATTGTTTGACTTTAGCCTGTTGGATAAGATTTGTGATTATCTAAAATGTCACACAGAACAAGAGCAGTGGTGTCTCGCGACAAGCGTCACAGACGTCTCTCTTGGAGCAATTCGCGGCTCAGGCCAAAGAGCTGGTCCGTGAAACTACCCGACAGAGCAGCCAGGAAGGACTGTTAGCGCATATGGACAAGGTAATACAATTATAATTTTATTTTAGAGTATAAACAGAATATAACTAACCACAAAACTGAATAAAAGTAGTAGAATATAATGCTACTCTAATTAAATAAAAAAAGATCTAAAAATTGTTAAATAATATACACAACATGATACACAATTTTCCAACATTTTAAGTTTTTTTTTAAATAATCTTTGCTGTTTATGTTATTATTACATTTTTTTTATTTTATTTTAACTTAAAATGGAAGAAAGGAAAAGCGGCTGAAGACGATATGAAAATATTTGCTCCTTTCCAACAGGTATTTCTGAAATATTATTTGAGAGTGCAGAGTAGTATTGCTACACAAAAACACATTGCGAAAAAACACATTATTACCTCCAGCTATTTAATCCACACCTTCCATTTTCACATAATTCATTATTAACTACCGATAATAGTCGCTTAGACTTAGACCATTACAGGAAATCTTACGCACTTTTTATGCAAATGCGAAATTTTTCACTTTAGAAAAATACGTAGACTTAGGCGAATAGATCCATATAAGTAGATATGATGTTGCTCCTAATAGCAGATGGTAACAAATAAATTTATGCTAGTATTAAAAATACATATAATTTTGCATAAAGCTACGTATACTTCATAATAAATTTGCAAAAAAATTTAGCTGACACACCACGCCAAGAAAGCCGCAGAAGAGGCTTCCAAGAGTGTTCAAGAGGCGTCCAAAACCGCGCTGGAAGCGAGCAAAACTGCAACCGCCGTCAGCAAGAACACATTTGAAGACCTGACTTACGTCGGCAAGTCCACTATCGGGGACCTCACTAAAAGCGCGAAGGAAGCGGCAGCGAAAAAGGGTTTACTAATCAAGGTAATCTATACTAATATAAAGAGGTATGATTTGTATTTTTAAAAATGTTGGGAAAACTCAAAAACTACTGGGCCAATTTCAAAAATTCTTTCGACATTAAAAAGCTACGTTTCACTGAGTAACATAGGCTATGTGTTTAATTTCTCGTGAACGAAGTGGCTAGCAATATATGAAACTAGCTTCCGCCCGCGACTACGTCCGTGTGGTATTAATAAAAACAAAAGAATGTAGCTTTTGTGTTATTCCAGAATATCCTCTAGTATGCCAAATTTCATCCGTTCAGCCTTTTCGGCTACAAACTCTAACAAACAACCATCCATCCATCCAAACTTTCACATTTATAATATTAGTATGATTTAACATTATTCAACATGC